ACACACACACACACACACACACACACACACACACACACACACACACACACACACACACACACACAGATGTGTGTGCAGTTACGTGGGTGGAGGTGAATTCTTTTATATAAAGAGGGTTTTGTGACTCTTACATAGCGAGCAGCCAGCAGCATGGTGTGCACTGACTGACAGCAGTCGCAGTAACGCTGACATGCTGTGTCACAGCATGTCAGGATTTCCACTGGCTCAACATGTGATGGATTAAGGACCAGAATTTTGTTTTATTCCACAAAGTAGCCCAAGTCACATTTATGAGTGGCACTCTTATGATCAGTGCAGCTTTCTTTATTATTAATGCATTTTTTATTTATTTTGAGGAAACATTAGCTGCGGGTCTTCTGCTCGGAGGATCCCATACGTCTGTTAAATATGAAATGATGTCACAGCTCAAATTGATGAAGACAGCTGATGGTTCCCATCGTCAGTGTAAGGCACTTTGTGGGAGATGAGTTTACTGTTACTCCTAAATAGATAATGAGCTACACAAACACCATGACAATATTACCATTCTGCATCTTGCGACTGTTCCCACATGTATATTACATTACACTGACAGCATGCATCTTTCAAAACATTTTTTGTTTGTTGTTGTTTCAGTGTCATTATATTAGAGTGTCTTGAAAAGCTCCAGTATAAGCAATAAGATTACATAAGACATCATCAATCTAATCTTACACAACACATGTTCAGGCTGCTGCACATGCAACCTGCCTTTATAGCAGCAGCTTCACATTAAAAGGGAGAAAATGTCATGCTGAACATCTCATGGGTTAATAAGGAAATTAGAAGAAGAGTCATTTTGACATTTTTCAAGAATATATTTTGTTATCAATGTGACTCTATAATGAGATGATTAAACCAAACATGGTAAACATGTTACAGCTAGTGAAAGGTTCCGCCTGTGATTGTGTGCTCGCACTGACACATGTTGTATTAATGAATGATTCTCAATTGGCTTTTTGTACTATTTTGTGGAACAGAGTTTATCTGTAATAATAATAATGCTATAAAACTTACAGTTTAAATATTGTTTCACACATGATTCAGATTTATTACATTTTATGTTCAGTGTTTCTATCCTGTGAGTAATGACCAAAAAATGAGATTGCAGCTCCAAATAAGATTCCTCCGAATGGTGGCTGCAGTCATCCTGATGCAAAGTGAGGAAGCTTAGAGTAGAGTCACTACTCAGGTGTTTTGCACATTACAAAACATCCTGGTGCCTGAACAACTATCTGATTTCTTTCGATGTGTCTAAGTCAGGTGTTTTGAGGATGATGTGGAGGAAGGCCCAGGGCAGAACAATAAGACTGTGCACAGTCTCAGTCGCATCAAAAAAGGAAATAGAGGAACACATCGCTGGTGTTGCAAAGTGTTAAAAAGCTATTTTTTCCCAAAATACCTGTGTACATGTGGACACATATTTTCTCCAGATTGGAAATTAAAGTTGGCCTTTGATATGAAAACGCTTAAGTTTGATGAGGTGGGTGGGCAACAAACTGTTAGAAATGTGTCTTTGCAGTGAAAATATTTCTAATGCAGGCTGAGTGAAAACCATGCCACAGTATTCAGAATAGTCCAGTTTATGCACCACGTGAAAGCACAATGTCTCACTGTTCAAGGAGTGTAAACCATTACGAGACCAGTACCACCCCAGCAGCTACAGTGCCTCACTCACTAAAATGAGCCATGAACTTCTCCAACAGGGTTTAATTAAATTTCTGATCAGGTCATCGCACAGGCCAAAATGACTACTTTACTTTGAAAAATTTGTTATAGTTACTTCTTCAAAAAAGTAACCAAGTTACTGAGTTACAATATTATAAAAGCAACTAATTACTGGGTAAAGTATTACACTTTTTCTCAAATGTTAAAACACAAAAGCCAATCCTGTAACCCAAATGACCAGTAGTCTAAACACATTTACTAAATGTAGCCACCATATTCCAGTACCATAAACACATGTCACATGAAGACACAATTCACAAAACACAACCCTCTGTACTCATAAATCTAAACACATTTTTCCTTGCTAAAACACATGTTGCAAAACAACTCTGCTCATATTCTCAAATGAAAGCCCATGTGATGCAAAATGCTTGCCACAGTCACCAATCTTTGAACACAGGGAACACACCTGGCGTCATTCACTACACACAATGACTCAAAATTGAAGACACTTGTTGCTAATGCTGTACCCACATGTAAAAGCAAGTTCAGAGTGCACAGTATGCTGAAGATGCCAAACAAACACAATGGATGAAGGCAGAGTCAGGGGAAGAGGAATTTGATGCAGAGGAGGGAGAAGAGCTGGC